AGGGAAGGGAAGGGAAGGGAAGGGAAGGGAAGGGAAGGGAAGGGAAGGGAAGGGAAGGGAAGGGAAGGGAAGGGAAGGCTTTTTAAAAGTCTGAAGTAATGGGCAAACCTATCAAAAATTTACTTTTCCACTCTGAATGTGAAATCTTGTTCAAAAATTAAAGTATATTTTTATACTTTGGTTGTACATAAATAATTATTTCATAAGTAATCACCTGAGCTCAATCAAGAAAGCGCAAAAGAAACCCTAAAATTTCCACTGTCTCCTCTCCCTCTGACCCCTTTCACTTCTGTTCCCATCAGATCAGGTTTTTTGGCAGCTGAGCACCTGGTTAACACCTTTAGGTATTTCAAGCCAAGTCTGGGGACTTGTATGTGTCAAACCCTCCACATTTAATTGAATTCCTTCACTCATGTCATTTTGGGCTCAGATTGACCTGTGAGGAGTTTTACCATGTTTTTGTACGTCCTTGGCTCCAGGTCCTGCTCAGCACTAGAGTCTGCTGCCTCCCAAGGGAATCTGTGGCTTTCACCTGATGTTACATAAAAACACCAGCAAAAGAGAGGTTTTTATTAATCTTTTGGGCAGCGATTGACACCATCCACTTGCTCAAACCACAACAGTGGAGAAAGCATTTGCTGGTGTAAAACAGTGCCTGCTCCTGCCCTTTTTTTTCCTTAGAGTGTGTGAGTCAGAGCCTTTAATTCTCTCTGCTACAGTTCCCTCTGTAAATTAAGGATAATTATTGCCTTCCTCGCAATTCTGAGGTATACTGGAAAGTGAGGTTTGGAAATATATTTTGTTTTTCAGACACAGATGTTACAAGATTAGCGTTTCCACCTACTTTTTCTCATCATTCCTGCAATTATAAGTATTTTATTATCTGATAAACCACCCAGCAGCCTCTGGTGCTGTGGGTTTTGTCGTTTGTGGAAGGATATCTTCTTTAAAGGGAGGGATTTATGGAAAGGTTGTGGGCAGAATCTGATGTGGAAATGTTGCACTCGCTTTCCTGGGATGGTGGTGGTATCGTGGAATGGTTTGGGTTGGAAGGGACCTTAAAGATCATCCTGTTCCAACCCCCTGCAATGGGCAGGGACACCTTCCACCAGACCAGGTTTCTCCAATTGCCATCCAACCTGGCCTTGGACACTTCCAGGGATGGGGCAACCACAGCTTCTCTGGGCAACCTGTGCCAGGGCCTCCCCACCCTCACAGGGAAGGATTCCTTCCCAAAATCTAACCTAAATCCCACTTCCTCTTGTTTAAAAATTTCTGGCTTTTGTTTTATGGCTGCAAACACACACAGACAGTGGTAAACAAGAGGCAGTGATTTGGTCTGCCTTGGTGATTTTAGGAGTTTAATGAATCTATTTTAAATGCTTTAGCATTGATAGAGAAAAATAAACCTTTCCTCGATGTTACTGCAGTTCTTGTGGCAGTAAAGTCTTCAACTTGTCTGGTTTTGGTGTTTTTTAGATATGTACATATTGAAATATTAATTTCAATGTTTGTTCTTTGCGTCCAGTGTCACAGCAGCAAAGGTCACCTTCACGTGTCAGATGCAGAACCCTCTAGGGGACCTGGTTAGGAAAAAGAAATCCTGTATGTGTCTGAAGGATTCAGCAAGGATGAGCTGGCCCTAACACACCCCTCTCAGCAGCTTTGGTCCTACCGAGCTGTCTGTCCTCCAGGTGGAAATTTAATGTTCCACAGCACTTTCCGTCATTAAGAACCCACAGAGGTAGTGGAGTGGGCTCTGGTTGGGTGGTGGGTTGGCCCTGGATGGATTCCAGGTGCCCACCAAGCCTCTTTGTCACTCCTCTGCTCAGCTGGATGAGGGATGAATTTAATTCATTACCAATCAAAAGTGAGAGATAAAACCAAACACCTTCCCCCAACTCCTCCCTTCCTCCTGGGCTCAGCTTCTCTCATTACTTTTTCCCCCTCCTGGCCTGATGATATGACTTACCAAGAAGAGGCCTCTGAACAAAGCAGGAACAGAAGACCAGCTCCAAATAATGCCAGGCTGCAGAGTTTGATTTTTTTCCCCTTTGCTTTCAGCTTTTCTCTGCCACCCACTCGATGTCCTTCAAACGCTGACTGCCGGGAGCTGACTAATGCACTGGTGTTTATCCTTCACTGTGCCATAATGAAAAGTGGCTCTGGTTCACTGGAAGTTAAACTCTGATCATCAGAGACCTGAGGAGTCTCAGAACCTCCTCAAAGATCTCATTTGCTTCGTCTCATGCCCATGTGTTGGTTTTAATAAGCAGATATTGGAGGAGCTTGTTGCCCAGGCTTGATGCTTCACCCAAGGCAGGGTGTGATCCAACCCTCAGTGCAGCAGAAGAGACAGGACAAGGGGGAATGGCTTCAAACTGAGGGAAAGTAGGTTAAGGTTGGATTTTAGGAAGGAATTCTTCCCTGTGAGGGTGGGGAGGCACTGGAACAGGCTGCCCAGAGGATCTGTGGCTGCCCCATCCCTGGAAGTGCTCAAGGCCAGGTTGGACAGGGCTTGGAGCAAGCTGTGATAATGGGGCGTGTCCCTGCTTATGGCATGAGATTGGAACGAGATGATCTTTAATATCCCTTCCAACCCAAAGCATTCTGTGAATCAGTGATTCTAAGCATGATTTTTCAAGAAAGCCAAGCGGAGGGATGGTGGTTACATCTGCAAACACAACTTGACATGCCCGAGTGTGGAAGTGAGGCAGTGCCGGGCAATACCTGGATTTACATATTGGTTTTGGTAGCAGAGATTTGGGAAGCAGAAAGTGGGATGTCTCTCCACAGGTCATTTTGTGGCTGCCTGCTTAGGGTGGATTATCTTCCCTCTCATTATCCCTACTTATTTTTTTGCAGAAAGCTCCAGTCGAGCTCAGAGAGCCACTGCCTACATGGGACAGGGGTGGAGGGGGGAACCTTATATAAGATGTAAAATTGCCAGAAAAGGTCTAAATTTTTATTTCCTAATATAAAAGGATATAAAGCTATTAGAAATTGTCCAAAGGAGGGCAATGAAGATGGAGAAGGACCTTGAGGGGAAGCTGTGTGAGAA